GTTCTATGTGAGCCAGCATCCTGTTGACTACATTGCATAAGTCAGGTATCAGGTTCAGCTGTAATAGAAACCTGTGATAAAAGTAGCTTAAAGTACATATCAAGTTTTTTCTTTCATCACAAAGACTGGAGGTAGATAGCCTTGGATGGTTCAAAAGTCATATTTTTACTGTATCCCTGACATAAAACTTCCATGCTTATGATTTTTAAATGACAGCTGCAATATCAGCTATTACAAATGTTCCAGGCATCAGGGGAAAGTCAAGGAGGTAAGGGAAAGCAAACCAGGTAAGCCACCTTCCATATGCCTGGTCAGATGCCCAGTGACCTGCTTACAACTCCTCTGCCACCCTTAGATGAAAAGGAGCTGGAATCTAACACTTGGTCATATCGTTGCTCAGAATAAAACTGGGAAGCTAGGAAGAATGGATACTAGAAGGATCTAGCAGCCTCTAGATTCTTCCTGGAATGAAGTCAATCATTAAAATTAAACCTTGGAGAACATTATTCCAAAATAGCTCTTTATTAGCCAGGCATTAAAAATACCATCTTTGGAAAAAAAACCCCACTAATAATAATAATAATAATAAAAAAAAAGAAAAGAATACTATCTTTGGTCTACTAGGTGGAAGTCTATATCCTTGCTTTAGGCAAAAGTCTTTGCTTACTTTGAGGTTCAGAATGGCTATTTATCAGAATAAATAAACACAAATTGTTTCACATAAGTAGAAGCTGTGGTTGATATACATCAACCAAATATCCTATAGAGTTCTTAGAGAAGGTGATTTGTAATATAAATGAAAAGCAATAAATAAAAAGGAACATTTTCCTTAGGATTGTAGGACATGCTGTCTGTGCAAAGCTGTTTATACCACTGTTATTTATGACAGCAAACAAACAAACAAATTACATAGTTTACAATCCTTTCCTACAATAAAGGAAAGGCTGAGTGAATTATGGGATGATCATTACAGAGCCATAAAGAGCATGCAGAAACTTAGAAACGTGATTGCAAATACATTGGCAGTGGAAAGAGAGACCAAACGTGTATGTGTACATGCATAAGATTAGAACATTCAGAGAACTGTAATGGGTTTTATCAGCATGCTAGAATTGTACACTGTTTCTGCTTAATTTCCTTTATTATTCTATAGGAAGTAACAGCAATAATAGTAAAATAAGTTTACATAGGCTAACAACCATAATTTTTCCTCAGATTCTTTTCTGGCTTTTTGTCTTTTGCATGATTTAATCTCAGATGCCTCCAGAAGGAAGATTTTGGTGCTCTACCGGAAAACCATAGTTGAGGTCAGGCAAATGATTTTTCTGTGGGGTTCACCTGCCAGTGTGAGTTACCACTCTGATCATGTCTCTGAAGGAACACTTAAGCTGTTATTTATTTATTTTTGGTACTGGGGATTGAACTCAGGGGCACTTGAACACTGAGTCACATTTCCAGCCCTATTTTATATTTTATTTAGAGRCAGGGCCTCACTGAGTTGATTAGTACCTCACTGTTGCTAAGGCTGGCTTTGAATTTGTGATCCTCCTTCCTCCGTCTCTGGAGCAACTGGGATTACAGGTGTAAGCAAGCCACTGTGCCGGGCAAGCTGTTATTTATTAACATAGGAATATCTTTCCAGTAGTGGGAACAAATTTACAATCCTCTTTTCATTTTCTCTTGCCAGGGATTCCTCATAATCAGTGTAATGAAACTATAAGCCGGTTGTCCTAAGTTAGATGTAGATTTTCAGACAGCAAAGAGAACAAAAATTACAGAATTTCCTATGTAGGAATTAAATCTGTTGGTCTTTAATGTGTTGCCGTGTACCCACCCCACCTCCATCACAACCACCGAAAGAAGGTCAAATGCTTCCTGAAATTCCTGTGAATTTGCATGATTGTTCAACTTGGCAAGAGCTAGAATTAATTTTAGGCTGAGTAAATGTTAATTTTTATTATGTTGAAGACGCCTAAAATAGTCTTAACCTTGAGATGGACTGATCTGTGAGTATGGCACCCACACTCCTTGCATATGTGTCCCAGGAGGGTGGGTGACTATTATGGCTTTAGGAAGGATATTTCCCCACCAGCCAAGCTGGGGACACTGAGGACACTGAGGACACTGACACAGGGGTATCCATGTTGTCTACGAATATATACAATATATATTCCCATAAATATCTATGTGCTTATTATCATCAAGGCAGGAATCCTTCCAAGACAGAAAGTCTTGATTTGCCAGGGATTAAAGTTGCAGAAATAATATTCAATTATTCTACTGAGAATTAACTTCTGTAAAGTAATAGAGCAAACAAGAATATCTACCTACATGGTTAATCTTAGAGGAGAAATCAATCTGCAGAATGAAGACAGGTTAACCTTGGAAGATTCTTGGAGACTTTGCCAAATTAAACAACTTAAGTTCCTGTACCTATATTCTGTGTGTGATACACATGCTGAACTTCTTTTACGCTGTACCCACGAACTCTACTCTTCAAATATTGGGTAAGTGCCATAAACTGAAAGAATTTGTGGGGAACCAGTATAACCAGTGAAGGGAAAGCACATAAATTCCAGGCATTTGTTTGACGATACCAGAAAATTAATACCCACTCCAGAATAATACAAAAATGAAACACCAATCAATTTAAAACTTATACAATGGGAAATTTATTTCTAAAATGACAAACAACAACAACAAAGGAAATTTAGAGACCAATTTATAAAAAAAAAAAAACTTTAAAAATCAAAACTCTTATTTCATCATACACACACAAAAAAGCAGTTGTAACATACATAAGGATACAATCACTTTATATTCCCTAAACAGATTGTCATTTTTATTCCCCATGAACTATGTCAAAACATGGATAGGTAAGTATATCTTTACATTCTGGAAGGCAAGAGAAATCTTCAAAATTTAAATATGTATATATATATATATATATATATTTTTTCATTTAAAATAAGTAAAACATTTAAAATAGCAGCAACACTGGTTTTGAAGTACACATACTACAGTAGATTATTCACATAATATAGATATTTTTCGGTAGCTTTTTCATTATTAATATTATCTAATACCCACCTATAATTTACGACTCCAAGTTCTTAGTCTCATCTCTAAGTAACTTAAGAGTCTAGAGTCAATAAATACTTTACAAAGAATAATTATAAAATGCAGGCTGCAGAACATTCCCAGACCAGGAAGAGAAGCATACCCAGAGGTTTTAGGGAAGAATCAGGTTGGAAGGCATACAAGGAATCTGCAGGATCCCCAAGGCAAGAGTGTGAGGCCACAAGCTCCCTGAAACGTTAGGAACCAAGTCCAGAGAAATGTGTCAAAGGGAAAAGAAGGCACTGCCTCCTCATCTTTCCACGGTCCTTTAAAATACAGACTTAGAGTGATGAGCCACTTGGGACATTTCCCAATAAACAGGGAATAGGGCAGGACAGTGGCCTAGGAGGTTGACATTGATTTGTCAGCATTTGTACCTATTTTGATGATCACAGGCATAAAAACCAAGATCTCAACAGGTCCTCATATATTTAATCCTGGGTGGTAGGAAAAATATTTCTACCTCTGCGTCCAATCTACTCCACTGGACCAATTTGCTAATCCTATTGTCTTCACCAGAACTCTYAAACATGGTGACAAGGCTTTTCACAGCTCTGGATTTGATGACAGAAGCTGTCCCTGCAATGATGGCCTCCTTTTTTTTGTATTTCAAAGATTTTTTCAGAAAAGGTAACTGTTCAGATCTCCCAATGAGGTTGGACCTATGGTTTGCTTTACACTATTAGCACTCTCTGATACTTCAAAATTCGTCCCCATTTTCAAACCACTTCAGATACTATTTCGGTTGATTCTCACAAAGGCCTTGTGAGGAAGCCCAGAGAAATGTCCAAGTGCTCAATGCAAACACCAGGAGGACTGAGGCTCAGGGAGATCAAAGTGACTCCTCTTGTCCAGGGTCTCGCCCACTAACTGACTGGTGCAGGTCCTCTGCAGAATTTAGCTCTCTAAATTGGCAAGAGATTTTTAAGAGTAGGGGCTTGGTAATGGTTGTTTTCTGAAGAATAAAGCAATCTGAAAGTCTCACACACGTAAACACACAGTAGAAAAATGCATTAAAGAAAAAAATACAAAGGGAGAGACAAATGATGCCACTTGGCAGTTAGTGTTATGAACTTTTTAAGTGCATTTTACATGTAGAATTTGGAAATCTAAAAAAAATTTAACACTTCATTTTCCTAAACAGTCTTATTTTGGATTCAACTAACAACACATCTTTGTTAGTGAGGCTGACATCAAAACATAAAAATTAAAAAAAAATTTTTTTACATGGGTTCACAGTTTTCCAAGAGACAGGTGAAAACGTTACAGCCTGATCTCAGGACCCTGTTCCAGCACTTACAATTACTATATCTATACAGTAGTTCTGTCAGATGTGGGCTTCACAAAACAGCGTTAATAAATATTCCTGTCCTTAGGAAAATTAGCTTTTTTTTTTTTTTTTTTTGCTTTGGATCTAAGTTCAGAGGAAAACTGAAATGAACTTAGAGCTTTTATCATTTTTAAATTTCATTATCATTCCACTTTAGAAAAAAAATTTAAATGACCATAATAGTTAATTTAGAAAACTATCATATTCCATGTTGATGTTTTCAAGAAAAATGTAGTGACTTGATAGTTCCATTAAACAAAATTGTACAAATTCCATTGGAAGCATTACATTCCATTGTCAAGGAGCTTACCTATCATGATAACCTAGGAAGTGGAAGATGTAGGTTTAAGGTCCTGGTGTGTGACACTTTGAATCAATTCTTATTTTTTCATCAGCAAATGTGTTTGGAGAAACAGTTGAACTGCAAAGGAAGTCATTCATGACGCCATTGTGTAACATGATACAAAGGTTGAATAATCCTTTTTTTCTGTTCCTCTTCAGGCACCACCTGACCCAGTTCCCCTACCTCCCACCCACCCTCTTCCCTGGCATTCATACTCCATAAATGTCACACCAACAGAGTCCCCTCAGCCCTGAATTAAACGCATGAGGCACCAAAAGGTAAATTATGCTTTGGCAAGCAAGCAATCAGACGATTCTTTGAGTGTCTCTGAGGTAGTGGAATCTCTCCTCCTAATATTCGAATGGTTAAGAAACATTTAGGGATCTGAACTAAGAGACAAACAGATGCTGGTCACTGTGCTTATACACTCTCCTGAAATGGGTGGTTTATGTGATTGTCACATACTCCAGCAGCTTCTTCAGTGGAATCCTTGTTATGAGGAGAACAGGAAGATACTGAGGTTGCCGTGAGATGAGAGTAGGCCATTGCTTCCTGAGGGCATTGTGCAACTCATTACAACTTGGATTTAATTCCTTAATGTTTTCCAAAAAAATGTACCTGATGCAGAGTTAGGTGCTCAGTAAATATTTGATGACTGACTGAAAGCTTAAGCTCTCTGATTTAGCTCAGTGAGATTACAAGCAAAAACAAACATTAAAAAAAATCAACTTCAACTCGTGTGATCAAAGTCTAGGTGGCTTTCCTTATAGTGCATGGAACTTTAGGTGACTTTCAAACTCTGATAAGATTAAGTTCCAATGTCGTTGGGCTTGGCATGGTATATAACTCCATATTAACTCCAATAACTCCTCTTATTTCCATCTTGGTTTTACTATGATGATATGATCGTGGGCTTTTTATCCATAAATAACTTTTCCGAAGACAAAGTCATCCATTCCCTCTGTTGTTCTTCAAGCTTTTCTGCCAAGCATTTAATCAAGACAGGGTCCACCTTAGAATCAAACTTATTAGCAAACCAATGTCCATCTTTGATAAGCCACCTTAATTCTGCAGCTCCATAAATACACACACTGCGAAGGTGGGAGCCAGTACAACTGGGATAGAAAAACCCTTCATAATAATTCCACTTCACAAGGCGGGTCTTGCTCTGCAGGTCAGACACATCCTGGGCTGATCTGGAAATCTCCCCAGGTATCCCTGGTACCCGAATTAAGGTAGCCCAAAAGTGCTCATCAGGAGAATAGGTATCTTTAGACCAGGCAAAAAAGTCTTTAATGAGGGAGTTGTTGAAAATATATTTAACAAATGCTTGACTTAAAACAAAATAGGCACTCCCAACAAATATCTCAATGTTATGAGGGGGTGCTTCCTTGGAGATGTTCGTCCTTATTGGTAGCTTCACATATTCATAAGGCACCTGTCGGAGCTCATGGTGATACATGAATCTTCCCATTTTACTGTTAGGGGGTTTCACTGTCTCTAACATATTGGCTCCATTGAGTTTCTTCAACTCTGACACTAATTCAAAATTTGACTTCAGGGGAAAATCTTGCCCACACAAGTTGATGACATATTTCCATTGAACCGAAGACTTGAGAAGGTCTGATAAGCAGTTTAAGTCGGCTTGGAGTCTGGAAATGTGGGCATATTCCACAGCCTCTAATTTGGAAGCGATGAAAATATTGGAGAAGCACTTAGCTAAATTGTTCATGGCTACTTTGAAGGTGTTAGTTGACTTAAGGTCATAATGGATGCAGTAAATATTGTGCTGATTGTATATAGCATGGATAAGCCTTTCAACCATAATTGCATCTTTGTGGACAACCAAAGAATAAGCTATTGGGAAGCTCTTCTCCTCCTTTGAAACTAGCTTCTGATGGTACCTTCTCAGAGTCTGATAGATGTCACAGTCGCTGGTCAATGCCACAACATCATCATCCTCCAAGTCGATGATGTCTTGCCTTCTTATTTCCAGACTCTTGCCAATTTCCAAAGGCTCCTGTTCGTAGATACCTGAACAGTTGACTTCATACCTGATTTCATCCTTAACATGGGTGTATCTGTTCCTTACAAAAGGTGAAGTACTTAAGGAGTACTCAACTAAGTAAATGCCTCTTTGAGGGAAGAGGAGTCTTCCCACATTTAGAAGCTTTAATAAGGAGAACAGCCATAGGGTTAAAAACAGGATGAAAATTTTCTGCTGTACGGTGTATTTAAAACAACATTTGAATATCTTCATTCTGTAAGAGGAAAAAGGAATAGTAGATATTAATTAATATTAGGAATTAAGAGAATTTCAATTTATCCAAGATTTATTGGGTGCTGTTATGGTTTGGATGTGAAGTGTCCCCCAAAAGCTCCTGTGTGAGACAATGCAAGAAGTTTCAGAGACAAATGATTGGATTATGAGAGCCTTAACCCAATCAGTGGATTAACCCCCTGAAGGAGTTAACTGAGTGATAACTGAAGACAGGTAGGATGTGGCTGGAGGATGTGTATCATGGGGGCGTGCCTCTGGGATATATATTTGTGTCTGACAAGTGGAGTCACTCTCTCTGCTTCCTGATTATCATGTGAGCATCTTCCTTCCACCACACTCTTCTACCATGATGTTCTGCCTCACTTCAAGCTCCTAGGAATGGAGCCTGCTATCTATGGACTGAGACCTCTGAAACGATGAGCCCCTAAATAAAACTTTCCTCCTCTACAATTGTTCTGGCCAGGTCTTTCAGTCACAGCAGCGAAAAAGCTGACTAAAACAGGTAGCTACCACATGCCTGGCAGAATGCTGGACCCAAAGATAATAAAACAAGATTCTTGCCCTTAAAATAATACAGAAATCAGGAAATGGAAACATGTACAGTGGTGGTATTTTTCTGAAATTCTGTGTGAACTATACCTAATTTGAGAGATGTTGGTTACCAAAGAGATTGGAAGATAAACTCCTTAGCCTTCTGGGGGATTGGTTTCAGGACCTTATGGCTATCAAAATCCTCAAGTGCTCAAGTCTCTGGTAGGAAAAGGCACCACATTTGCATATAACAGATCCATAATCTCCTGTATACTTTTTCCCCTTTAACACCTCTCACAATCCCTATGCATCACTCCATTCATGTGAATCAGCCACAGCACTGGGTGGACCACAAATTCAAGTTTTGCTTTATAAAACTTTCTAGAGTTTTCTTTTCCAAATATTTTTGACTCAGGTTTGGTTGAATATGAGGGAACCACAAATGTGGAGAGCCAACTGCACTATGTGCTTTATATATTCTGCATTTCTGCTTAGCATATTTGTGGAGGGATTGCTCTTCTTTGGACAGGGGTCTAGAAAACTGGATGTATGAAGAGGTCCTCAGAGTTGCAAATAATTCACCTGAGGCCAAAAGGAACATTTATCTTAGTTCAACTTTCAGATCCTGATTAGACCTCCAAAAATAAAGAGGGCATCTCAGGACAGGACTGCCTGCCCGGGAGAGGGAAGGTGGCAGGGAACTCTGGAAAGGGATTGGGAGGTGCTATCAGGATCCTGTCCCAACTCTGAGCTTTCCCAGGCAGGGGACTACAGTGAATTTCCAAGAGGGGGAGGGTACAGGGACAGCCCAGGCTCCTGGCTTTCTGAACTACTTTCACAAAGGCCTCGCTAAGGGAAAATCTTGTCAGCCTTTGGGTCAGACTTTGAAATTCTTTAAATGAGCTGTCCTCCAATGCTATCCTGTCCTGAGTCAAACAAAATAAAACCACTTTGTCTGCTTACCATGGCTAGAAAGTCCTTTAAGATAAAAGCATTCCTTCCCCAAGTAAGAAGTAAAAACATGGAGGTACAATGCCCTTTAGTATGAAAGAGTTTCTGTCAAATCTTGAAGTGGTACTTGGTCTCTTCCCAGGTGGGCAAGAAATCATCACRGGTATGAGAGGCACTAACTAACCAATCAAGAGGACCCCCATAGCAGGAGGTAAGAGAAAAAACAAAGGTCCCCAACCTCAGCTTGGCTCTCCCACCCCCAGGGGCTTCTGCATAACACCCTCAGTCCCTCCCAGTGAGCTCTTCAGGAAAGAGCAGGAAGCAGCATGRCCTCGGGGTCTCCAGTTGCTAGGGTGAAGGTGGGTACCACTGATACCTGCCCATCAGCAGCCCCACCCCCTTTCTGGCCACCTGTCCCAGGAACTCCAGGGGCCTCCAGAGTAGAATGGTAGGAGCTCCTGACGCCTGACCCAGGTCTGACCAGAGTGGGTGGGGCCAAGGCTGACCTCAAGCTGGCCACCTGTTTCCTAGGAGACCAGGTTAGCAGTGCCACCTTCTGCAAACACCTCGGGACTGGCTCTTTTCCTCCTAAGGGCAGGAAGCAGGCAAATGTTTTGTTGGAAAGGAATACTCTTAGAATTACATTGCAAATAACTTCCCATGGACAAGGGATATTTCCCCTCCCACCTCTCCAGGCAGACAAGATAGAGTGACCTGTGGAGTTTCTCACCACATAGGTACAAGTTCCTAGTGACAATGAAATAAGGTTTCTTGGCAAGGTTTAATGGCTACAGCTCAGATGGAAGATGTTCCACAACAATTCAATAAAACATACTCCTCACTAAGTTCCYGACAGGAATGTTACATGAAGCACTTCCTCAAACCATCTTCTCCCCAGCTCTCCCAGGCACTATTGGAGCCTCTAAGGAAGCAGCAGGAAAACAGATCCACCGCAGTTAAGTGCACTAAGTGTGAGTCACCGCATCGGGGCCAAATGGCTGTAGTCATCTGCAGCTTTTCAAAAAACTCTTAAGCTGGCCACTTTAAAGCCCAGGCTGTAAAGGAGTAGGAGGCTTCCTCTCCAAGAGAGAAGGAATGATAAATCAAGAACKGTGGAAGGAGACTGAGGAGAGAAGTTCTGAGCGTGACTCAGTTTAGGAACCAAGAATTGCACACAGTGACTCAGGCAGGTCAGGACCTTGGGGAGAGAGAGAAGGAGGTAGCTGGGCTTCAGGATGCCACAGACCTGGGCTTGAGTGCCTGGAAGGGCATTTGGTAGTTAAATCTTTGATTGAACTAGTTAACCTCTCTGAGGGCTCATTTTGCGTCCCACAGTGAGAATTAGACTAATTCCCAGCCACCAGAGGACTGAGGCTCAGTGCTCCCAAGAGGCCCTTCTCTTCCCCCAAGCCCAGCTTGCCTGTCTCCARTCTTGGGGCTTTTCCAATACAGTTCACAGGACCTGCTGAACTTATGTTTTAAAGAAAAGAATTCACGAGACAATTTTATGCAATGTTAAAAAATGACTGCCTTTCACTCTTCGGATCAAAGTAAGAGGTGATAAAGGAAGGACAAAGCTGCTCAGAGCTGAGACCCTGCTCAGGTGCYGAGCAAAAGAGGAGGCCACACACCGTCCCACCATGACACGTCCTGGCCAAGGGGCAAGGGCTTAGCTTGCCCTCGGAAGCCCTGCAATTCAGCTCAGGGACAGCCTACCTAGCACCTGGACCTCAGACAGATGCCCTCAGCCTCTGCACATCTGTGCCCACAGGTAAAACAACTGTGACAGTTAAAGGAGGGAATGCCTGCAAAGCRCTCCAGCACAGCTCCAGACCATGACTGCCTGGTAAATGCGTCCTTGTCCTCCCGCCAGCTCACTCTCCAGACTGCCCTGCTACTCCTACTCATTGATGGCAAACACTTCCTCACAAATCCTGTCCAGACCTGTGGCTTATCATCCCCCCAACCCTCACACTTTTTTTTTTTCCCAAACTGGGGATTGAACTCAGGGGGCACTCAACCACTAAGCCACAAACCCAGTCCAACTTTGTATTTTATTTAGAAACGGGGTCTCACCGAGTTGTTAAGCACCTTGCTGTTGCTGAGGCTGGCTTTGAACTTGTGATCCTCCTGTCTCAGCCTCCTGAGCCGSTGGGATTACAGGCATGTGCCATTGTGCTCAGTGGTACCCTCATACTTTTTTCTTTGCTGTGCTGGGGTTGGAACCCAGAGCTTCATGTGTGTAAGGCAAGAGCTCTCCCACTGAGCCYAGCCCTAGCCCCAGCCCTGTTGCTATCTGTCAGTCTACCTCCTATTTTCCCCAAAAGTCTCAACATAAATTCAGTATTTTAGGAGTAGTGGCTGACTACCTCCATCCCAGCTTCCATACTAATTTAATATCATTATTGATGTAGAATCACCCAATAAACAGTGCTTACTTGGGGCACCGTCTAAATACTTTCTATGTAATAACTCAATCCCTTCAACAGATCTGCTGAAGTGAGGCAGGAACTGCCAAATTCCCTCTGTTTGGAGAAAGGAAACTGGGGCACATGAAGCAATTAAAAACTGCCTAAGATGACAGATGTGGAAGGTGCTTTARTTGAAAACCTAACACAGAGAGTCTTGTTCCAGAGATGCACTCTTACCCTTCCATGCAGCACCTTCTCTTAGAATATAAAGAAAAAAAATCCTCCATATTTCCCACAACAGTTTAGCCCTTGTCTAATTTTGTCTTATCAAACCGTGCTAAAGCATGAGCAGAAATGAACTTCACACCATGTTGGAGGTCCTGAGACCTTCCACCTAGTTTAAGAAATGATTGACAAAGAGGATAAGAGGAAAGCCTGAGTCACATCTGCTCCTGCAGTCAGAGGCTGGGGACACAGAGCTAAGGAAGAGATCAGTCAATCCTCAGCCTTCGGGATCAGTTAAAGGAAAAGCAAGCAAGTTCATCCTGAGGGATTCTGCCACCAGTGACACTCGTCTCATCTCCTGTCACAAGGGAGTTACTGAGTTATTTCTTCTTGAAGTAATCTGTGACACAATTTGGGCTGTCTGAGTATTACTAATTGTTTTAGGAAATGTTCTGGGAGAAATTTCTCTCCAGGAGAATATTCCCTATTGGACCACCTTCATCTTCTTCAACTTTGTTTTATTATATGTCACTTTTAAAAAACAGCGTATGAAGAGCTTATTGACTTAGGAATGTCAGAATTTTGTTTCTTTCTAAAGTCTTACAAAGAAGAATGATCACTTAAGGACGGYGATATAATGACAGGTGCACTAAAAACAAAAACCCAAAGTACCCATAACCCTGATCTGGATGAACAAGCGAAGATCCTTCTACTGCAGTCACTTGATTTCAGCGAGGTCACTGATTCTGCCCTTGATGACTTGCTCATTGCCAAACCTGAAGATGTTTTGGACCAAGACTGGTAGGTGGAAGGATGACTCAGTCCAGAYGCACTTCCTCAACACCCCCACAGCATCCCAAGA